TTACGGTGTTTCATCCTCGATCTTCTATTCTTCTACATAGCTAGTCGCTCTACCATTGTATCATTCGTCTCTTAATCCATTCATTTCAAAGGATCTTAACCCACGGTCTATTCTTGTTTAATCAGTCTTTTTTTTGTTAAAGATTTTTAATCATTTGATTAGTTTATGGGGTAATGCAAACAAAAATGAAATATCTTAGAAATGAAACTATATAACATAAGTGAATCTCCCATGAAGATAGGGATTTCGTAAGAAACAAGTACAAATAAACTAATAAATGAAAACGTTTGAAGTGCCTCAAGGAGTTATTTATATCCACTTTGGTTGTTTTGTAAAGACAAAATTTGTAGTGCCCTTTGAAATTCTTAAAAGGGAGGATATTCCCACAACTTATATTACTAGTTTTAGTGGATACGAATCTCTTTTTAGTATTTTATTAATCAAATACTTATATCTATATATACATTTTTGGAAATATTTATGAAATAAATACTAGAATTCTAACTTATTTACGATCAAATGTCATTGACATTAATAATTTAGGTTTTCAAAATTAAATTAAATATATTAACATAAAAAATCATTTCCAAAAATCTTAACCTAATATATTAAGCATAACTAATCCTTGTCACAATTACATCCATATTCAATTCGATTTATTTAAAAGATCTCAACAATCTCTGCATTTAATCATGGTCATTCAAATCTTAATCCGGTTTTTAATCTTCAATCTTGACTGTCGGTTATACGCAATTAATTCAGAAATCAATATATAGAATTAATTATTATTAACTAAAATTTAAATATATATATATATATATAATCAAACTTTTAAATTGAATCGAATTATTTGTCTATTAAATAAAATATTATTAAAAATAACGAAATGATGTTTAATTTCACGGGACGGGATTATATGGACGGGTTGGATCAATATTAATACGGGATAGTATTAATATCACAGATGAGATCTTAAAATTAACAATCAAAATACAATTATACAATCTGAAACACTTAATAAAATAAATAATATTAAAAAAAACAATTTAAAATTTAATTTTTTAGTTAAAAAATTGATCCGCGGTGTAAAATATAGTAGTATAATATAAGAGCATACAACAAATGTATTAGTATAAGATAAACATGAGTTGTAGTTTAGTCTCTTTGATTTAATATACTTGTTTTAGATTACACCATAATCAGGGTGGTCAGGTCGACTATATTTTTGTTTACCAATTGATATGTTTATTGAAACTCAAAAGAATATTATGTAACAGGCAATTTAAATATGATTAACCAAAACTTAATGAAGACATGTAGTTTGGCGAGTAGCAGTATAATATAAGAGCATACAACAAATGTATTAGTATAAGATAAACATGAGTTGTAGTTTAGTCTCTTTGATTTAATATACTTGTTTTAGATTACACCATAATCAGGGTGGTCAGGTCGACTATATTTTTGTTTACCAATTGATATGTTTATTGAAACTCAAAAGAATATTATGTAACAGGCAATTTAAATATGATTAACCAAAACTTAATGAAGACATGTAGTTTGGCGAGTAGCTGAAAGATGTGCAAAACTTTCTATCATGGGAGCTAGCCTAATCCGTCCACCACCTCCGATCCAGGAATAATTTATGCTTGAATTTGACTCGCTTCGCGACAGTTTCGACCTAGGCTCGATTTTTAGAGATATCTAATTCATCCTTTTCATATCTGCCTTTTTTTTTTAATTCTTTAAGGCTTGTAAAGACGAATCTTAGATTTCACAGTGTTTTTATATTAGAAAAAATCGAACCCCTGTTGTTATATTTCTTATTCAAAATTGTGTTTTTGCATTTCTGAATTTATTCAGACTCTATATATATGTCCAATGCTTTCAATTTTTATTTACTAATCGTTTAATTTTGCTGATGACTTTTTTTGTTGATTTGATTTCATTATTGCTTAGCATAGAAAAGCAAACAAAAATAACATTTTCTTTTTAACTAGTTTCAAAGAAACTTGTACGTAGTGGGTGTAAGAAAGATTGAGCGATGAGATCTGGAATAGACCAAAGCAAAAATATGTGAGCTTCGGACGCAAGCTCCTGATTTACGTTCAACATTAAAGAAATCTTCTTCATGTAGATCCATGCAAGTATAATCGGGAGAGAAGAAACGAGGAGGAGTTTGATTCCTCGCTTGACAGTCGCAAGAACGTAGTTATAACGTCTTGCGCCGAAGGCTTGGGAGCAGATAGTTTCAACGCCCACGGTTAAACCGGGGAAATGCGACGGCGAGGGAGCCACCGGCTAGAGTGTTGTCTCCGAGACCGCCGAGGTAATACATAAAGACGAACGAGCGAGCGTAGAGGCATATACCTTTTATTTTGTCAATGTCTATGACTATGAGACAGAAGATTTTAGGTGTAAAGAAGATTGGTTAAGCCTTTTTCTTTATATAGAGAAAAGTAATGTGGGTTTTCATATTATTAGTGTTCCAATTTTGATCATATTTATAATAATTTCAGGTCAAAATCTCAAAAGTGTAGTCTATTTAATTTTACGCGGTTTTATCTATTTAGTTTGAATATGTATAGTGATACATGGTAACTTCTGCATAAATCAATATACTTCTAGCTCAAACTTATTGTTTTTTATAAGAATTAATTATTTTCTATAATTTTTCATATGTTTTTTTTTTTCCTTCAGTCAACATATATGATATAAGTCTAAATTCATACACATGTGAATTCTATTTCATTTGAATTTATATACTCATGTGGTTTAATTTGTACACTCAGATTCTAATCGAATGGAATTCATATAGCTGAATATGGTAACATTCTTATAAATCAACATACTATAACTCAAACTTGTGGTTTTAAAAGAAATTGATTATTTCTAAATTTTTTTTTGTATGAATGTAAAATTATATTCACAAAAAAACTATTTTATAATGAATGCTTCATCTAAGCAGAAAGTCGAACATTAGAACATAATATTGGAAAGAGAGTTAGGTGCCATGAGTTTGAAACCAATATCGAAGGCCTCCTTCATAAGGCGGGGAATCCACCAATGTGCTTAGCCGGTTACGAATTCTCTTGTCAATCGATCTAATCAGGTTTGAGGATGGGGTTGGAATCTCTCCATGACGTCTTCCATTACGTTTTAGCCAAATACCATGAATGGTGGTTTGAAAAGTATACCTCAACACAAAAAAATTGTAATCGTGGAGAGGAGGAATCTGTGAGCAGCGGAATTATGGAGTCCCATCTTGAAGTGAAACTATGACTTAGAATGCCATGGGATAAAGCATACCAAACTCGAGAAGAGTAGGGACATGAGAAAAAAATGAACATATTTTCTATATTTTTCATATGTTTGTACGTTCATGGGTCCAAATATGGGGTTTTAGGGGGTAAAGCTCATGTTCAAGTGTTTAGGTTTGTGCGCCCTAGGCTGTGCGGAGGGGGGTATGTAACATTGGGATGCGCTCAACTAAGAAAAATTGCAACTTTTCTCAAACAAAATTCAGTTTAAGATTTTGAAATTGTTGATACAGGATCCTGAACCGAGAATCCCGAATTCATGTGGAAGTATCCACGCCACCTCCATATCATCATTTAAGGGGCCCATGGTTACGATCCAGGTCATCATGTTGAAAGAGCTCGAAGATGATGGTGAATAGCTCGTTGAAGGCCGACTATTCATAGGAAACAAGCTATAACCATTACGAGCTCTAGGAGGAAAAGTCCACGAAAAGCCCAAAGAGAGTTTAAATTCAAACGTTGCAGCATTAATGACATGATCGAAACCTAGAAATAGATGGATCAATCTCTAATTACAAGGCAAATACACACTTTTTATACTATTTTCTATTGCTCAAATTCTCACAAAAGTTGCAAATACTTTGGATACTTTTGTTCGCGAGAGTTTTTGTCCCACAATTTATTTACAAATACTAAATGTCAGATCCGATATCCACAGAAATCCATCTTTTGATTTAGTGAACCAAACCTTTGGTTCGATCATTTTTCTTAAAATCGAGGATTTGTCTGTGAATTTTGAAACCCTAGTCAAACTAACGAGTAGATTCACCATTTGGTAGCTTAGGCTGTTTGGTTTCAGTTCCATGTAAGCTCCATCGGTCATTTCTTGAATTTGATCATACAGGAGATGATTTCTCTTGATCAATTTCCTTTAAATAGCTGGTTTTATATTTCAAAGCCGGTAAATGGGTCGAATGGGTCAATGTTCGTCTTTATGGGTTTGATCCTGCAATTACTATCTGACTATCAGAATTAAACTCGAGCTACTAGTACGGCCAATGTTTCAAGACAACAAGGGTTAATGTGATACGTGGCTTTACTAGTAAACTGTTACATAGACGATTCTACCATGGACAAGTTCTTCCGACCCTTATTAGATCCACGACAGAGACACTTCTTTTCCATGTTTACTTCCTTCTCCATGTTCTTGATGAAGACCTTTGATGATTCACGACCTGTCGACACTTTTTTCTCTGCATAGAATCACGACAAACGGCTCTAGTTGTATATCGATGAAGATTTCTTGTACACTTGTCTCCATTAATCTGCATATTTGTTAATAATCACAATAGCTGGAACTCAAACCTCATACTTCTTGGTGTAGAAGCATTAATTAACCATTTGTCAATCAATGGGCAAGGGACTTCGATAAATATCCGTCTAAACTAATTATTTGCGATACATAAAATATGAATAATATTATACTTATTTAAATATGGTTATATATTTTGACATTTCGATCCGCATGTGCTACCATTTTTAGTTAGTTAGTACTTAGTAGCATTTGGAAGAGAGAAAAAAAAATGATTGGTTGAATTAACAAAGTACAAACAATACACATCCCAATGGTCCATTGATTTTCTTCAATAATGGTCAATGGTTTAGTTTATTTATTTTATCAAAAAATCGTCACACTAACCCAACAGTGTATAATTGAATTTTTTCGAATAAAGTTTCAAGCGATTTGAGCAAAATTTGAACTTATGAATTTATAAACCTTGAATACAACTACGAATCTCTGAATTGTGTTATCATTACACTACAAAATTTACATTAATCATCCAACGATTCCCTTCTAAATAAAGAAAAAAGTTATAAATTAATTCAAAAGAAAGTCAATTTTGTTTTTTTTTGTTAAAGACCAACCATGATTCATTCCTCCCTAATTATCAACCATCCCAGCCTCCACATCCTCCTTGTCGTCGCTGCTGCCACAATCCACAGCTGTTGTGAGCTCCTTAGCCCTTTCCGCCTCCAGTTCCCAATCGGTCCTACACGTCGCCGCCATCATGCCAATCACACACGTGATCTGCGCCGCGAGCATCCCAAGCCAAAGTCCCTTGAATCCGAACCCAAACCAAAACGCCATAACAGCTCCAACCGGAATGCCGACCACATAAAACGCCACTCCATTAATATTAGCTCCGATCTTCGGCCTCGCAGAGCCTCTAAGAACACCGCATCCGGTAGTTTGCGGGCAGTTCCCGAGCTCGCAAAGGCCAACGATTGGCAGAGCCATGGCAGTCAACTTCATGATTTCTTTGTCATCGGTGAAAAACATTGCCCATGTGTTTCTGACAGAGACAGTAAACATAAAAGCTGTAAACCCGAGGGCGATGCTGAGGCCAAGTCCAACAATGGCGGCTCTTCTCGCTTTCTTTGGCTGGTTCGAACCAAGCTCGTTTCCGACCCGAGTCGAGACTCCTAAACTCAAGGAATGAGGGAAAATGTAAACAAGGGAAGTGATTTGGATGAGAATTCCCATTGAAGCAACACTTGCTTTAGGGTCTAAGAGAAATCCACAAAGCAAAATCATAATCTCATAGCACCACCACTCTAGACAAACCGATATACAACTTGGTATCGCGAGACAGAGTAATTTCTTCCATTCTCTCACACTATCTTCATTTGTCTCCTCTGTTATCTTCTCCTCCTCGTTGATACTTAGCTTGTCTTCGAAGAAACAAATGTAGAGGAAGAGAAAGGCGACAAGGTTGAAATTAGACACAACACCACTCAAGGCGATGCCTTTAATCCCCAAACCAAGATAACTTACAAAGAAGAACGTGATTGGCAAGTGAAGAAAACTGGCGATCACTGTGCAGATTGATAAAGGAAGAGTCTTTGACTGTGTCCGAAGATAAACTCTTAATGGGTGTAAGAAAGATTGAGCAACAAGATCTGGAACAGAGTAAAGCAAAAAGATGTGTGCTTCCGACGCGAGCTTCTTGTCCTGTTTCAAGATTAAAAGAATCTTCTCCATATTCATCCAAAGAAGTGTAACAGGGAGAGAAGTGACGAGGAGGAGGATGATTCCTCTCTTGATAGTCGCGCGGACGTAGTTATAGCGTCTAGCTCCAAAGGCTTGAGAGCAAATAGATTCAACACCCATGGTTAAACCGGAGAAAAGAGAATATCCGGTGATGTTTGCGAATGCGGCGGCGAGGGAGCCACCGGCGAGAGTGGCGTCCCCGAGACCGCCGAGGAAAGACAGAGAGACGAAGGAGCGAACGTAGAGGAAGAGACCTGTGAGGACCAATGGGTAAGAGATTTTGCCGATTGAGATTGCTTCATTTATGAAAACAGAGGAGTGATTTTTGAGATGAGAGCTTTTTTGGAGTAAAGGTGTTGTAACTTCGTCTCTGACACGATTTGATTGACTCATTCTTTTTGTTTTTGTCAATATCTGTGACAGAAGAAGGGAAAGAGAGAGAGAGAGAAGAAGATTTGTAGGTGTGAAGAAGATTGGTTAAGCATTTGGCTTTTATAGAGAAAGCTATTAGTGTGTGGATTTTAATAATATTATTATTATTCAATTTTGGTCATATGTTTTTTATTTTCAAGTCAAATGGTTACACGCTTATTAGTTATTACATTTGAATTTGTATACTCGAGTGGTTCACTGTAGTTAAAAATTAGATACGCGGTTTCTATTCAATTTGAATTTGTATAGTGTTACATAATATTTATGCATATAAATAGATATATTATAACTTCAAAGTAATTATTTCAAACGATAATATTTATTATTTTCTTTTTAAATCAGATTTTTATCTAGTCAACATATACAGTCTTTAATGTGAATTCATATAAAATCTGTAGACACGGTTTCTACTTAGTTTGAATCCTGCGCATAAATCAATATATTACCAGCTTAATGTTGTGATTGAAAAAAAGAATTTCTTATTTTCTATTTCTTTTGTCATACGTTTATTTTCACTCAATGGATAAAATATTTAATGTAAATCTTTATACTGTACATGTATTCTATTACATTTGAATTCATATACACGCAATTAACTATAGTTGGCTATAGTTTAAATCTGTATACACGTTTCTATTCAGTTTGAATATGTATAGTGATACATGGTTAGCATGCGTATAAATCAATCAATTCAGTTTTAACATTGTAGGTCCTCGTCTTAACGTAAGTTAAGATAACTTACGTTAACATGAGGACCTTAAAATTGGTAATTTACGTTCACACACTAAAAGTAGATATTGCCATATGATAGACGAGGCCCAACTCAAATATTTAAGTACACAAAATATAACTTTTGATCATCACTATTTTCTTTAATCAAATACGACATGATTAGAATTTCAAATTAACTGACACGGAACGTAATAATAAAACTGAAACAAGGGACCGGTCAAATTCTCATGTTTATCGTGCCACTAAGTACTTGACCAGTGGGTTTTGAACCTATTTCAATTTCACATAGAAACTTCTTCTCTTTTTTTCCCTTTTTTATTTTTTTTTTACATCATTTTCAGTTTATAACTTTTCAAAGTCGCAAGTTTACACACGGTGTGCCCCACGCGTTGAATTAGACCTAAAGAGAATTTCCCAAGTGGAGGAGTTTGCGGATTAAGGACAGCTAAAAAAAGTATGCATAACACATTTTAAAAAGTGCAATATATCATTTCTTTCTAAACAAAATGTTTGTAACTTACTTTTATACCAATTCTCACAAGAATATGGTCTCAATCTTTTATTTATCTTCAGTGATTCAGTCGTTCGTATCGTACTTATTTTATGTTTTCTATTAATTATGAACTTTTAGGGCCATAATTTTTCTTTAGGCAAAAGCGAAAATTTAAACGTTATAATAAAAACTCTAATCAATAAAAAGATGGAAGTTCGTTAATATGCAAACAATAAGTGGAATTGGCTGGTCGGACGTTGACCAGACATGTTCAGGCAAAATAGTGATCAACACTGAAGAAGAAAGAAAAATATTCGTTTTGGGACCAAAGAAAACATATAAGGAAGAGAACTTATATTTTGGGACAAAAAAACAAAATGTTCGCTAAATTTCACCTACATTTTGTTTTGGTCAATAACTAAACTTCGCTAAATTTTCTATACATAAAATAACATAGGGACTTATTTTACAATTTTTATTAATGTGCACTGTTATATAATGATGTTTTCTAAATTACATCAAAGTAAAAAATAAAAAAACTATTTATTGCTACAAAGGTGTTACATGATTATCTATTTTCTATCGGAAAAAATGTCATTTAAATCGTCACTTTGCCATTTGTGGAGGTTTAAAGCATGAACTTTGAACCTGGTGCTTTTAATCCTCAATTTCTAGTTGACTTTCAATTTAATATCTAACTTTCGTTGACGAAGCCGATTGAGACACGTCTTTAACTAGACAAACGGAGGATTAAGAGGTTGTTATCTCTCCGTCTAATATATCCGTTAATAAGCAAAACGACGTCGTTTAATCAAATGAAAACTCCTAAATTCGATTAAGCTCGAACCCTAGAATACCAAATCGAAATTAGAAATACAAAATCGAAGATTCTCTCTCGTTTTCTTCTCTAATCTCGATTTCTTCTCAAATCTCGATCTCATCTATATTCCTCAGGATATGTTGACTCTATTCCGATGAGTTCTAGCTCCTAGAAATCGATAGTACTCGCTGCCAGATGAATGCCTGATTAGTACGTGTGTGGGTTAGGTGTAAGGATCTTTACATCGAAAACTCAACACAGGTCAACTAGACTATAGCGGAGCGAAGAAAACGAGAGAGAATTTTCGATTTTGTATTTCTAATTTCGATTTGGTATTCTAGGGTTCGAGCTTAATCGAATTTGGGGGTTTTCATTTGATTAAACGACATCGTTTAGCTTATTAACGGATATATTAAACGGATAGATAACAACGTCTTAATCCTCCGTTTGTCCAGTTAAAGACGTGCCTCAATCGGCATCGTCAACGAAAGTTAGAGATTAAATTGAAAGTCAACTAGAAATTTAGGATTAAAAGAACCAGGCTCAAAGTTCATGCTTTAAACCTCCACAAATGGCAAAGTGACGATTTAAATGACATTTTTCCCATTTTCTATTGTATAATACTTTCAAATTTTAAATTAATTATTTTCACTTTAACTATTTGTAATACCCCGGTTTCAGGAATATGATGATGCATGCGGAGAGGTTTAAAAGAATTTATTTGGCCACCTATGTCACCAAAATGCACTTATCTTTTCGGACAATTGTCCTAAGAAAACTCCATAGTTAAGCGTGCTAGAGCTGGAGTAGTTTCAGGATGGGTAACTTTCCGGAAAGTGATTGTTGGAACTGTGTGAGTGAGGACAAAACAAAGGGAATGATCATGTGATGATTTGTAGGGTTGGTAAACAAGTCTTTAAAGCCTCCCGGATGTAGCGGACCGGCCGTCGGATAGGGGTGGGCCCATGGGCCGGAGAGAGGACCTGGGGCCAACTGGTAAGGACGGTCGGGGCGTTACAAGTGGTATCAGAGCCGAACCCAGGCGAGTGGGGAGTCAAGAGGGCTCACACCGCCGGGGGTGACAGTCTTAGTGTGCAACGAGGACGTTGCGATCTGTTAGTGGGGGTGAATTGTAATACCTCGGTTTCAGGAATATAGTGGTGCATGCGGAGATGTTTAAAAGAATTGATTTGGCCACCTATGTCACCAAAGTGCACTTATCTTTTTGGTAAACTGTCCTGAGAGAACTCTACAGTTAAGCGTGTTTGGGCTAGAGTAGTTTCAGGATGAGTGACCTTCCGGGAAGTGATTGTCGGAACTGTGTGAGTGAGGACAAAACACAGAGAAAAATCATGTGGTGATTTGTAGGGTCGGTAATAGAACGTGGGTCCATGGGTATGATGATGCATGTAGAGAGGGTATGATGATGCATGCAGGGTGGGTCCGTGGGTATGATGATGCATGCGGGGTGGGTCCATGGGTCCGAAATAGGACGTGGAGTCCACTGGTATGGACAGTCGGAGCGTTACACTATTAATCACAAAACTTCTATTAAAATTTTCAATTTTCAGTGTATATTAATGTATTCTAGAAATACATATTTATACTTTTTAGTAATTACTGATGTAAACATAATTTAAAATAAAATGTTGTGGTAATATATTATCCATAATATCTTTGATTTTTGTATAAAGGTATCTATACATTGCGAAATTGATCATCAGCACCGTGCGTAAAAAATCAGAATGGTTAACTAACTCCACATGAAGCAGGGTAAAGTAACATACCATTTTGTTACAACTATTTCAAATAGTTTATAAATATTTTAGATTTTGAGTTTCCTACAATTTAGGTTTTCCTTTTCCTTTATTTTTCTCATTCTTTCTCTTTTTTCAGCTTCAATAATCTATTACAGTGTTTACTGGTTAATTATATGACAAATCATTTTAATGAAAAGACCAAAAAAAATGATTTTTATTTATTATTTTGAGGGTAAAATATGAACTTTAAAGTTTCAATAGATATGTCTAGAAGAAATAGAAATGCGGGGTTATAGCCTTATAGGTATATCTACATGCGTCAAATTTGTGATTTCTTTTTAAGTAAGCCATTAATTCCTTAACTTGTGCCTGAAAGTTAAAGAATATGGTGAGTCTAATTCATTGTACTAATATTTCAGTTCATTGAATTGAATTTGTACCTTGCATAACAGTTAACACATTGAATAAAAGTGACTTAACGTGTGCCCATGCCCATTTTCATTTTCCTATTATAATTCTCTTTTCTAATTGTGATGTTTTGCAAATCTATTTTGTCCTTGCTTGAACAACAAAAAGAAAAACTACAAATATAAGTTTTCGATATGACGAAGACTTTTTACATCGGTCTATCGTGTTTGTATTGGTTCATTTGTAAATTGTAATGACTCAGGAACGGTTCAACTTAGAAAGTAGTACACGCACCCGAGATAAATTTTATAAATTTAATAAATAGCGAAAACAAATAATGTGTTTCTAGAATTGTAAAAGTTGCTCCATACTAATCTTAAGTTTTTGATCATTCTTTAAGTTAATTAATTGTGGTTTATATTTTGAATCCCATGAAAAATATGCTCTAGATCCGCCAATAACATCTTTCAGGTTTACTAGTTTTCCTAAATTCTTATATGTCCTGTCATTTTTAGTCGAACAAATTAACATTTAGAGACGTATAACTTGTGATCCAATTAAATGGGAACACTTCAAAAATATTATTTGACACGTTATTTTACAAGTTGGATTTTAGTAACCTCCTTGCGCCACCTTGAGGGAGAATACTAGAAAATATATTGCGATAAAAGACTAAAACTACATATGCATGCAAATATGTTTCTTGTGTTGAGTGTTATTCTCTTTTTAAAGCATGTGTTGAATTTGTACTTGTATAAATATGTTAACGCTATATGACCTAGCTATAAGAATTGGAGATAACATAATGAACAAACCGTGTATCTTGCGAATTAACTACTATGGGAAATTAGAGTCGGAATGAAGTGATCAAGGCAGCAAAACCCAAAAACAATATTTTCAAGATATCAATATCTATTCTTAATTTTTTTTTAGTTTTGATTTATAATGTTAGAGAATAAAACTTTATAATATGGGGATGTTTGCATAAATGCATAATGTTAATGCTATCACTATTACATATAAATATATATGGATCTCATATCACAACATATCAATAATACCATTCAATAAAATATCTATTCTATAATATGCACCCTATATCTAGTTTAAAATGGACAGAAACTAAAGTAAAAAAAAAAAAAAAACAGAAGCATTTAACCTTTAGACTCTTATCATACTTTTTGGAATTGAAAAGGGGGTGGTCATGGTTATCTTGTCGACGATAGCAACTCGTCGTGCAAAATTTTCTGCCGTACCTTTTTGTCCTATATAATTGTTTTCTCTTGTAATTACTACGGGACTACGCATATGTTGACAAAAGAATAATTATACAAGCATGTATAGATTTATTTGTCTATTTCTGATGTTTTTCTTAAAGTGGATTGAGTCAAATATATAAAACGCCTTTCGGTAGATCTCATTCTGGATGTTTTGTAATGAAGAACCTTACTGCTTATAACACGTGTTGCTCTGATCATGTGTTATTTATACTTATATACCAATGGAGAGAAACAAAAACAAAGTAAATGATGATAGATCTAGTAGTAAAGGGGGAATGTTCAAACTTTTTTAGTATACAAAATTATTTATAAATCAAAATATATAAAAGCTAATCTTGGGTACAGAAAGAGATTATGGGCCGAAGATTCGGAATTTCTACTGTTTATCAAACAAAGTTATCAAGAAATTCAAAAATTCTTTTAAAATTTATTTACTGAGGAAACGTTGGTCTTAAAATCGAAGGATAAGTTTAGTTTTATTTGGTTCATTGTTTTATGTTGCTTTACATCTAGTTGGTTCAGTTCTGATCACCTGGAGAAATTAAAACTCAAAACAAAAATTAACCAAACACTATCTTGATTTAAACTACTCAAGTTCGGTTTAAATTGGGGTTTGGGTTTTCTACCTAGCCCGAAATTTGACATAGACTGGTACCAAAAGTAGTCATCTGAAACTTTTTTCAATCAACTTAAATTATAGATTTTACCGTGTCCAAATTCAATATTTAAACAGTGTGTATGATTATTTAATGTTGAAAAAGAATGGAGGATCTTGTAGATTCCTTTCACTTAGAACATTTCTCCATTTGGTTGAAAACGAATCATCAACATTGACTTTTAGTAAACATGATAAAGATTTAGTAAAAACGAATGTAATAGTTTGATAACATTTCAATATCTACTTGTAAAACAATAAAGATTTTCAATAGTAACACCATGATGTGTCAATGAATATCAACTAGATTCATTGGATTCTTATATATAAATTCGTAACCAACTTCTCGTTTCCCTTTTCCCATCTTTTCATTTTCTTACTCAATCTATCTATCTTTCCAGCTAAGACAATATTTAATGAAATGTTATTAGTTGTAAACTTTGTGAGCTATGAGTCTATGACAAGTGATATACTCTTTTGCTTCCCTTTTCCAAAGATAATCACAATAATAGATTCCTACTATTTTGTTATACATAAAGAATATTAAAAAGAGACAAAACAAAAGTTTGTCTTTAATCTTTATAGCCGTAACATGAAAAGAATTAGAGGTTGTGTAAGTCAAAAGAAATGAAGCGACTTGTTGGGTAAAAAGCAACAACAAGCGGAGTTGAAGCCAAATGGGATTCATCATCATTTTTACGGCTTACACATCCAACGGTCCATGTTTAATTGGGACCTTCACACTTCTTATTTATATATTCCATATGTATTTCTTTATTTTACTTTATCATATACTCTATTCAATCTAAGTACAAGTCGACAAATTATTCAATTTCAATTTGAAGCAGAGAAACATACAGTGAAAACCCTTTCAAATTCAATTTGACTTACAAAACTATAATATTATATTCTTTTATTGATAATTTATGTGATATATTAGGACGATTTAATTTGATGACGTTAACTTTGCATATGTTTCATGAACATTAAACTTGTTGGGAAGAGACAAAGCTAAAAAGTTAATGTTAATGTCTCTATCAAAACTATCAAGTCAAGATTAGGGAAGATAGAAATATAGAATTAGTACGTTAAGATTGCGTTCAGTGCTTGAATTTTGTTAGTGATCGATAAGATGTGATAATGTGTGTGGGAGCTAGTTGCGTTTCTAGACTCTCATGTCTCAACAAGTGAGACACTCTCTTTTTCTTTACTTTTTCTAGTAGTTTTAGCCTAATAAGTAAACCACTCTTTTACTACACCTATCCTTTATAGTAATGTTTCTGCCTAACTTCCTCATTTTCAGTTACCCATCACATAAAATAATGGTAAGATAATGTATTTTTAAAAGGTATTACCATATTGGTTTCTAGCTAGGTACATTATCTAACCACTGACAATTCCCATGAAAATCTGATGTTACTTACTACGGTTTTGTCCGTTTGTTTGAGCTTGTGTTCATATTTTCATTCAGAATAAATGCATAACCTTCGATTTACAAAGAAATGTAAACATAAACGTCAAAACAAAATTTACATACGTGTTTAATAAATTACACACTTTTGCAAAAATATTTTATAAAATAACATGTTTTTTATATATGTACAAAATTAATTATATTCACTTCCCAAACATGAGCTTTAGACATTGGGGTTACTCGGATCCATGAGTACAAAATGGAAAAAGACAAACCGGCCAAAGCAACCGGAATAATGAGATCGGAAACATTACGCTTACGGCGACAAGGGACCGCCTCCACCAGAACCGGCGACCATAAGAGAAACTACACTTTACAGCCACTTCACCGAGTGCGGAAAATTTAACATAAGTAGGCGCGCAAATCCGCCTCCAAAAAGAAAAAGAAGTACTCCCTCCGTTTCGTTTTAGTTGTCGTTTAAGGTTTTTTTCACACAAATTAAGAAAAGCATTAAATTTTCTGTTTTACCATTTATTAATATATTTTATAAAAAATTTTATTGGCCAAAACATTAAAACAATAGGGATAATACTGGAATTTTTACCAAATATTTGTATTGAAAACCTAAAACGATAACTATTACGAAATAAAATTTAAGTCCTAAAACGACAACTAAAACGAAACGGAGGGAGTATGAAACAAAATGCTTTTTTTTGGGATAAACTGAAACAAAATGTTTTCTACTTCAAAAATGAAAAAATGAGTTTAAGAAAAGTGAAACCGAAATACAAAAAGTAGGTTATACACAATGGAGACTTGCAACATGTATATTCAATTTAATTGGCCAAACTTAAAACTTCTGATCATGTCGTCTTATCTTTAGCTGTTTTTTTAATGTTATAAAGGAGATTTGAACATAAGCTCCACTCATAAACATCTAAAGTCAGATATAGAGTAATCCAAAATAAGAAGCAATTTTTTAACCAATACTACGACAAGCGATTTCGGATGGAGTCATAATAAAGTTTACAAAAGCACTTAACGAAAGACCCAAAGGAACACACTAAAATACTAAACATGACATAACAAAAGACTTGAGTTCAGATACAGCTACTTTGAGAGACATCTTTTGTTTGTGAATCCAACACAATCATCTGTCTGCATCTCCAATCATTCCTCTGCTGGAGGCGAACGAGAGGGGCTGCTTCAGTGTCGAACCACAAAAAAAAATGTAAGTATGATGATATTGATACCATTCAAATGTACTCTAAAGATAGTTTGAGATGCGTACCTCTCGCGTATCGGGCTGTCTGCACCATCGTATCCTCTTCCAGCTTCTTCTTCCATTATTTGTCCAGGGCTTTCAACTTGACCATTCTCAGGGCTTGACTTCGACCTTGACCTTGATCTCTCCCTCCTCTTCTCATATGGAGGAGGGCTCCTGCTTTCTCTCCTCTTCTCATATGGAGGAGGGCTCCTGCTTTCTCTCCTCTTCTCATATGGAGGAGGACTCCTGCTCTCCCTCCTCTTCTCATATGGGGGAGGACTCCTGCTTTCACCACGTCCTTTTCTTGGACTTCGGTTCCTTACAGCTCCATTCTCTGGGCTAGCCACTCTCTCCCTCCTACGGTCATCCCTCTTGTAATCTGGGCTAAGCCTGGCTCTCTTGTAAGGGCTGGGGCTGCGTCGTCCTCGACCATAATCAGGACTAGTTCTTTCCCTTTTGTGAGCTACTGGACTAGCTCCTCGGCCATAGTCAGGACTGCCTCTTTCTCTTCTGTAAGGACTAGGTGACCGCCTTCTCCTATCAGGTGACCTATCACGCCGTCTTTCAGGACTGTACCCATTTCCTCTCGAATCATCATCTTTCACTGCATACTCCACTGAGATCACCTTATCCATCAGCTTACTGCAAGAACAAAAAACCAGACAATGGAAGATGAAATAGGGAACGCATTTGGGACAAATGAGAATGTGAAAATGGACAGAAAGAAACCTTGAATTTGTAGCATCCAGTGCTCTGGTGGCATCTTCTTGCGACTCATATTGGATAAATGCAAAATTCCTTCTGATTCTAACATTTACGATTTTTCCATACGGCTCAAAGTGTCTCTCCAAGTCCCGAGTCCTGGTGTTCTGTGCATCAAAGTTGATCACAAACAGAGTCTTGGAAGGTCTCATGCCAGACGATGATCTCCTCGAACCACCTGATCTTCCAGCACCTCCACGGTCATTCTATACCAAGTATTAGAAGTTGTATTCCATCACTAAATCCTTCCTGATAGTAACTCTTAAAATGATAGTCAAGTTTCTACCTTTGTCCACTCAACACGGAGTCTGCGTCCCGTGCGGCCATATTCAAAGCGATCAAGCGCTCGGATGGCATCTTCAGCATCCCTTTCATCTTCCATATAGACAAAAGCAAACCCTGGGGAAATAACCAAAAAGCAGAAATCAGAACATAAGAACAATCTTATCAAATAAACCAAGTACAAGAACCTCCTCCAAAAGGAATTCTAATATGAAGACTCCCTTCCACGGCAGCATCAACATAGCCTTTATACTTACTGTCACAAATAAATTTTGAACAGTCCCTAGAACCTAAAAACTCTACAAACTATGAGTAGTTTTACAGACCTTGCATTATGGAATTAATATGTCAAAGAAGAAGAACTGAAAATGAGGAGGAATTGTGAACAGAAACGCGGTGGTGCACTCTCCATTTGATCTGCTGCCTCTGCTGTGAGAGCTTACCAAAGAGGCATGTCCAAGAGTAGAAAAGTCAAGAGGAATGAAATGCAACTAAGTCGGGGTTAAGGGAATGTAGTGCCAGTGCTCGGATGAGTGTGACTCTTTTGGGCAGGAAATGGATTATCCATATGGTCCATCAATGGGCTGGATGGTGGGAGAATGGGCATCCCAAGATAGAAAAAAATCCTGCGCCAAAATCAAATGTTGAGTATGGCGGTTTTACCCTAAAATTACTCGATCTTTTCTCTTCTGAGGTATGCTATGAACTTCATGCGGGGTGCTTCAAGTTCCTTGGCAGATGCTGGAATCAGATGAAAAACGAACCGAGGGAATAGGGAATGTGGGATGCAGAGGCCAGAGAGCACATTTTGAAAGGACAGTCCTCCAGAGATTCTCGTGGAATGAGCGTGTGAGTGGATAATATGAACAACGCATTCGAATTTCGCTAGCTCATCGGATTTGCAGCGGTTTACGAGACTTCTTTATCGATTCAATTCAACCAAAAAGAGAAAAAGAAAAAACAAAGAGAAAGTATTAAAAAAACAAGAACCAAGACTTACCAGCTTTCATATCAACCCTCTCAACCTTGCCGTATCTTTTGAAAAGCCGCTCAAGATCACTCTCACGAGCATCATACTCAAAGTTGCCGCAAAAGACAGGCTTCATGTTTCCTACAAAATAGACCACAGAAACGATTTACAGCTACTCTCAACAACCTAAGCAACAACAGATATCTAGGAGATACCAAACAGAGGACAGATTTGACCAAAATATAAACCTAAACACATATGATTTTAGACCATAGACAATGAACATGAGAGGAACCAAACCACAGCAAGTTTTAATCATATATATACTTCAAAGTTTTCAAATTTATTACTGGAATAATCAAACTCCAATAACATACCAATGCAAAAATTGGATCATACTTCAAGATTTCAAATTTATATCTTCCATACAAATTTTGATCGATTATACTTCGAATTTATAACATCCCATCATAATTCAGAATCAAAGGAAAGTATGTTAAAACCCCAGATCTGAAACATCAACCATATCAGAAAACAACAAAGCAAGAGAAGCTAGAAATTTCAACAAACGCAATAAAGAAAAGAGAGACGATAGAATTCAATATCTGAAGAACTCGATTTTAATTATACCTTAGAACACAAGAAGTTGATGATAATCGTACCGGCCGTCGAAAGTCGAAACCCTAGAAACAAGCTTTTTTTGATTTTTATTGCTTTCTTCGAGGCTCTCTTCAGATAATGCAAGTGAAACAGATATATAATAATAATAAATGTATTTTATTTTATTTTATTCTTTTCGTTTTTTTTTTTTTCACAAGTGTAACATATTATATTAAACATTCCAAAGAGTACATGGCCAAAACAAAGGCCCTTTAAAAGATTACAGAAAAGATGAGGCCCAACAGAGAGCCCACCAAAATAACAACATCGACTTGAAGAAGAAATATCATATTTTGACTCAATCTGAAACCACGTGTCATCAAGAGGATGTAACCTCAACACGTATTAGACGAGTAAGCGGAAGATTTCCGATAACAACCTCTGCCGTTGAGCACCGATTCCGGTAAGAGAATCATCGTCGAAAAACAATCGATTTGTGATTCCTTTAGTAACCACCGAAGCTAAGCCATCGAAGCTCCAATAGAACTTAACAGCATAAGGAAATCCGAATAAGCGTCGGAAAATTCTTCGTTCCTTCAACTAAGGACGCCATCTCTTAACGATTCCTGTAACTCTAGAACTTCAAGAGATTGAATTGGAGATTAAAAAATTTTAAGTCACACAAACCTAAAGATTCATCACCAACTCAAATCTGAAGTATTTATTGAAAGAAAACTATGAAACAAACTAAAAACGAAAAATAAATTTTAGAAATCAGCTTGAAACTGATTTACGGTGGAATAAAAACAGAAACCGGCCAAAATCTCATGTGGAAGCCGAATTTGCCGGGCAAAAGCCGACCATCCCCGCTAACGGAGCCGGAAGATGCCGAAAAAGAAACCGACCAACCACCGCATAAGAAGCCGATGGATGTCGGGCAAAAGCCGACCATCTCCGCTAACGGAGCCGGAAGATGTCGGAAAAGAAACCGACCAACCACCGCATGAGAAGCCGATGGATGTTGGGCTAAAGCCGATTGAAACCAATCGGACGGCCTTGCCGGAAAATCCCGGACGGCGGAGTAAGGGACATGAATCGACTTTCTCTCTGAAAAATATGAAGAGAGAAGAGAGAGAGGCGATTAACTAGGATCCACTTTGGGCCTGTCTTAATTAATTTTTTTACAGCAAAAAAAACATTATCAATTTCAAAATATTATGATGCTAATTATAAGTTTTTTTTAACTTACATTATATTTTAATTTATCGTCAAACAAATCAAGTTTATGTAGCTAATATTGACGTCAAAAAACCTTAAACTAATATTAAAAAATGAAATAAAAAGAAAAAGAGATTTATACTCTCCAAGTCTTTGATGTCGTTGACTCAACAAAAATCTAGAAGAAAAAACATTTACATTTTTTTACAGTTTCTTTTTTGGAGTTGCTTTTCAGTTATCATGAAAGGTTTTGATTCATCATCATAAACTTGAGATACTCTTCATATAACTCCCATAACAAGAACCCTATGATTGTGTCTCTTGCGAGGCTCTTTAAAACCTTTTGAATCCAGCCGTTCGATGTAGTACTACCATCAGATGAATCTCTTCTTCCTACTAAATCCTTAAACCGGAGGTCCCCGGAATCCGATACCAATGCGTAGATGACACCATTCATGTGTCCTTTTCCGATTACTCCCACTACTGTTTTACACCCGTTCACTGCCTTACTTCTCTTCAATGACCAAGCTAGATACTGTCAAAGCAAAAACATTGGTTTATCAATTCTAATTGACAAAAGGTGTCTACACATTTTAGCACTAAAGGGTCAAATTCCACTGTCCGCAAATTACTGAGCAGCAATCTGATAGACCTCCCGCATAGGAAAGCAAGAAGGAGGTCAGGCATTCGGTTTTTGGGTTTGACTCTGTTTCGGTTTTTATGCTTACGGTGTCTCTTTCGTGTATTAGAGGCAGTAGGAGTGATGGGTATGAGAAACTAAGCCGTTCATAAAGCTGCAAACTTCCATTGCTTTCATCGGTCTCTTGTTCCTGTTGCAATGCATATACAAACCCAAAGTTACAACCTATCTTGTTATCTTCTTGAAACTTAAGGAATTAATTTTAAACGGGTTGGGGAAAGAGAACAAAACCTTAAGCTCAGCTGCGGATATACCAGATGACGATGTGATTGCCCGAGTCACAGCCATCACCAGATTAAACTTCTCTCCCCATTTCAAAGAGTTCCAAGCCCTTTGGAGCTACAACGTTATAAGAGTCATATGATCCCATTGGTTTTAAAAAATCCACATGTAAACGATCATTTTGTTATAAAGATACTCATAGCATTACTGTTATTTCGATAGGTCGGTCTCCAAGAACTAGCTGCGCACCAACTTCCTCAGACGCTTTCCGAGCTGCACGAAACTGCAACAAAATTTGAGCAAGAACAGTCTGAAAGTCCAAAAACGAACCCTTAAAAATCATATGGATTCTCAAAAGTACCTCATCACCGAAAGGTCGATCAGCAACAGAAGATAACTTAGACGAGAAAACCGCCAAGAGAAGTCGCAAAGCCAAGGCAGTTTGGCCTCCTATGATCATCCCAACCAACACACACACACCAAAAAATCAAACATTGAAACAAAAACAAGTACATGAAGTTATTATGATTAGTTTGTTATATACCCAAGTCTAAACTCCGACCAACAGCACCGAGAAAGCCAGTTCCTGTCAACGACAACACACCGGATTTTAAGTTTTGGTCGACCTCTCCTCCAACACTCGAAGTGTACATAATCCCAGCTCTGCAACATCAACACCAAGCTCTGCATTGTGTTACTGTCAGATACTTCAATTCATCAATCTCACTACAAAGTCTAAACTATACCAAATTTCCCCAAAAGTATCAACTTTCACGTAACCCTAATTTCAGCTGGATAAAGAAATGAACTTTCCTGCTACGACAGAGCTCGACGGCGACATTATCAGGTTTCACCGTACGGACGACGCGTTCAACGACGGAAGCAGACTCCGGCGAGATATGAGAAGTGCCCACAAGCCAAATCGCTTCTGGCTCAACGAACTCTTTGCGCCAAGCTGGAACAGGACCAAAACTCTGTTTCTGGACAAGAATCAAAGTCCCGTTATCGGCGAGGTCAAGCAACTCCGGGAAAGTTTTAGCAATTGCAGCGCGTGAGTCCGACGCGATCTCGTTTCGGAAATCGAAGTCCGGCGGAGGAGTTTGAACGGAGACGGAGACTTTGATGGGTCTGAAGAAAGGTTTTGAAGTTAAGGGAGTGGAGAAGGGGAAGAAGAAAGTTAGTGGTGGATTCGAAAGGAGTTTCATCGGAAAGAATTCAAATCAAGATTTTCTTGATTTCGATAATTGTGAAAAAAAAGATTGAATTTTTTATTGGTTTAGATTTTCATTTGGTTGGTTAATGGCCACAAACTTTGACGTTTTTGACATATGTGTATGTATGAAGAGAATCACCCAAACATGAAAGTAGTATCCAATCACTCAGATTCTCAAATCTTATTTAACCATATCATCATAAGAGCATCTCCAATGGTGGAGTTCTCTCTATGAGCTCTCTCAAATTTTTTATTATAAATTTTGAGAAAGTGTTAGATAAGAACCTTTGATTTTTTTTTTGATTTTTTGTGTCCAATGGTAGGTTCTCTAGTGGGATATTTAAGAAGAAAAAAAATTATTGCAATCAAAACACACTCACACACTACATCAAGTAGTCGGATCAAAACCAGGAGGAAGGTTTCCACTTGGTAAAGGCTCCATCTGCAACAAATACAAACATTAAGAGATGATTGCAGAACAAGTAGCAAAAACCACTCCTATTCTACACGAAAATCTACCATTACCATCAAAATCAAACACAAATCAGCAGAGAAAACCGAATTACTAACAAGAAACACAAGCCCACAATCAAAAGCTCAAAACTTTACATAATAATTAGCCAAAAGCTCAAAATCTACCTCTACCACAACTATGGTTGATCAAATTGTGATGTGTCATGTGATCAGTTAAGGTCTATAACTTTACACTAGCTTTAACATGAATACAAAACAGTCACTACTAAATGTCTATAACTTGGTGTCGGTATACTAATACAGCGACAAAGATTGAGAAGTAAAATTCAAGCCAAAATTGCAAATCTTCATCTATCACCCTCTTCCTTAAACTTGTCTCTCATCATCTATCACCACCTTTCTCAATTTCTTTGTTGTACCTCGCAGAAGAAAACCAAAACATATTGATACACTAAAGCCTAGAGAACTGCTATTGATTCCCATTCTAATTAGAACATCTATCACCAACATTCAAAGTGTTAACTAACTCTGAGATAACTTCAACCAATTTCGGGTGTTCTAAATTGCCACTTTAGTTTCTCTTAATCTACTTGTTAACTCATTGTCCACAGATAAAATCGACTAAAGATCATCATCCCATAGCCTTGACGAACTCGTGCGGTCTAGACATCCTTAACCGTTCTTCCCGTCGCCATTGTTGTCTCCTTAAACGAATTAAGTCACGAAACACATGGGAAAGGGGCTAGATTCATACCTGGAACAAGAAATTGGACCATCCTTCAACGAATCCTTCTTCTCCATCGCCAATCTTCGATTTGTTTTCACTCCATTCGCCGATGGTCTTTACCGTGAATCCAGCTGATGATTCCGGCGGCAGGTAAAAAAAACAAACCACGATTCCGGCGTCGAATCATCGGAATCTCACGAAATCGCGATGATTTTGAGGTGTTCATCAGTTTTTCGCAATCGCCAAATCGAGAGACAAAGTGTTTTTTTTTGTCGCGACACAAACTAAAAAATGAGTGTTTTTTTTTTCTTTTGTTATAACTCTCCCTCCAATAGAACACTGACACGTGTCCGGTTCTCTCAAATTCTCAAACTTCTCTCAAGAGAATCGATTCTCTCATCTTAATTCAGTTCTGAATTATTTTTTTCCCAAAATCAGATGAGAACTCATCTAAATTTAGAAGAGAACCTCCCATTGGAGGTGCTCTAACATCTAGAACTAAGAGACACCTTCACACATTTAAAGACACTCAATTTCTTTTCTTTTATTATTTTTATATCTTAAGACATCCATCATAAGATTACCAATGAAAATGGTCTAAGTGTTTAAAGAACCGTTAGCAACTTCAGGCTTATGAGCATTCTCAACGGCAGGATCTCAAAAATAGAGGTCTGTTGACAAAAAAATACTCCCTCTGTCCCATTTTATAAGATGTTTTGTGTAAAAGCACAAAGATTAAAAAATAATTAATGTTTGTTATAAACCATATGGATGGACTCCATAACCGGCCCATGACCCATTAGGGTTTTACCTTATTCTATGTATCCTGCTATTATCCTTGTATATATATCCCCTATTCTATTAATGAAAGACATAGTTCACAACACGTTATCAGCACGATAACTCTAGCCAACCGAGCAAACACAAAACCCTAGCCGTCTGAGCAAAGAAAAAAAAAAAAAAATTAGATCAAAACCCTAATCGATCAAAAAAATTAGATCAAAACCCTAATAGATCAAAAAAATTAGATCAAAACCCTAATAGATCAAAACGCATCCTCAGATGCTTCATATTCACCCAGCCCAAAGGGGTTTGTTGAGTTTCAAAGAAATGTGTTTGAATGGTTTCCACATTGAAACTTAGGGTGAAGGGAACAAAGGATTCCCATATATAACTAAGAGCACCCAAGACCATGAGAAGGTATTAGAGACTATACCCGCGTCATAGACCTTTACTATGCCAAGGTCAATATGATAAAGGCTAATACAGTAAACAAAAGGGTTTACTAAGAGATTCACTAATGGCATGACCGGCTTGGCCAGCCTCCTAACATGATTCGTAAAGCTGATATTAAAATCAAAAGGGCACACCCCTTAAGGACCTCACGTGTATAGCATGTACACAAGGGAATCTCATACTAAGGCCATCACCAGTCAAAGCAACTAGAAACTTGGTGTTTGCTAGATTGCTGGCCCATACCATAAGTCTGTGAGCCCACATACTTAAGACTATATGTCTAGATAATGCTGGTAAATTATCTCCCAAGCGTTTTATGGCTACAGTATGTCCATGAGGGGGAGAGTAGTATACCCCGTGGCACATGTCCATACTTGAACTCACAGTAGCTGATTGGGGACACGCAATATTACATGCAACAAGAGCTTATACGCATCAGGCCATTCTAGTGAGCATAGATATTCCCCATCCCAATTGCTAACGGGTCATGAGCCAGACGTTTCCCATCTTAAGACATTTGGGTGTTCAGTCTATGTACCCATTGCACCACCACAGAGAGAAGATAATGGGATCTCAAAAGGGGATGGGAATATACGTTAAAAATGATTCTCCCACCATCATTAAGTATCTCGAGCCAAAGGCCAGATACAAGGATTGTCATCTCAATGAATCCGTTTTCCCAACACTGGGTGGAGAGACTAACAAGCTGGTCAAAGAACTTACATGTAATCAAACATCCTTCACATGGCAAGATCCTCGGACTCCATCAGAGATCCAAAAGACTATATATCTGCAAAAGCTAGCTAAAATAGTTGCCAAGATTCCTATAATGACCCAAAGAGAGTAACAAAATCGTACATACCAGCTTGTAATGCACCAGTACGTATTGATGTTCACAAGGAACACAATCAAGTTGCTATAGAGGCTACAACACGTAAGAAACGTGGTAGACCCAAAAGGTTCCAAAGACAAGAACCCTCGGAAATCAAAGAAAGGTGCAAGGGAAACCGAGAAGGTTCAAGAAACCATAGACATGGCCGGCTAATAGACATAACCCTAAGGTACCAATCAATGAGGTTTGGGACGCCAAACCTCAAGGTCCTGAAGGTGTAAAGAGATCTCTATAAACTATATCATGTCTAGAATATAATGGAACCAAAAAGATGTCGACATCAATGATAATATATTTGCGCACAAGGTAGCAACTGAAATGAATGAGGATCAGGAGCCCACGTCTATACTAGAGTGCACTCAAAGACATGATTGATTAAAATGGTACAAGACCATAAAACGTAGAGCTAAGAATCATTAAGAAGAAGAATGTGTTTGGTCCAATACAAAGGACACCATTCAATGTAAAGCCAGTGGGACAAATGAGTCTTTGTGATAGTGTGAAATAAACATAGTGAAAGCGTAATATATCAGACACGGCTTGTCGCACAAGGATTCACACAAAGACCAGAAATAGAGGAGATATACTCCCCTGTGGTGGATGCTAAGACATTTAAATCTTTGCTAAGTCTGGCTATATAAAAGAGAAAGATTTGCGGCTAATGGATGTAATGCCTGCATATTTATATAAGTCCACTGGATAATATATGAGATTACCAGAGGGTATTGAGCTCAAAGATAAGAAAGATTCTCGAGAACAGCACTGCATAAGGCTGGACAAATCCTTTCATGGACTTAGACTAAGTGGGCGTATGAAAGGTTATAAATGATCTCATCAGTCCATGTATTTTCATAAAGAGGTTTGCAAACAAAGGATTTGTAATCATAGCAGTTTATATGAATGATTTAAACCTCTGGGTAATCGACCATACAGTTGAGTATATCTAAAGAAAGAATCTGAAATGAAAGACCTAGGCAATAATTAAGTTCTGTTTGGGATTACAACCTGAGTACGTGAATAATGGAATCCTTGTGCATCAAATGGCATACACTGAAAGAGTACTTAAGGAGATTTAATAAGGACCAGGCCCGCCCATTGACCAGGCCCAATGGTGGTGAGAAGCCTCAGATTGGATAGTGATCCATTCAGTCCGGAAATGCCATACCTCAGTGCCATAGTGTTGGTGTCGGATCCCGCACCAGAAGTCCGGGACTAACTAAAGATTGCCACGTAGACAAGATGAAGACCCATAAAAGATAAAGCCCGTCGGATCCGTGAGCCAAAGGAACGGTCGGAGTGGTTGTCAACATAAAGAGGGTCCGAAGTGACTGCATCCCGACACGAGTCCGGAGACGAGGTCATGGTTAAGTCGGTCCAAGGACATTTGGGCCGAAAGGCGAGGCCCATAAAGACCAGAGTCAACTCAAATTTAAACGTTGAGCATTAAAATCAAGGAATCAAAACGGACACATTTAAGAAGGAATAATTGTACTTAATTACTCATTTTTAATGTCGTTTCTCTATGTATAAATATGGAGGCCAATGGCCATGTAAAGGCATCTCCCTCTTGGGCAAGAAATACGATAGCAATTTTTGTAGCAATTCATAAGCCTTTTACATTCTTACTTTTTGTCCCTCAAGAATAATCTTTCCTACTAATAAAAATACTTGAGTGTGTGAATCCGACATCCACATTTTGGCGCCGCCTGTGGGGAAATAGGATTCTTGAGTGGTCAGATTTTTCTTTATTAC